TCTTGTAAAATCACAATAGCAAAATCATTAATAAAACTTGTTAATGATCGTGGGATGGGTCAAGTTGTTCGTCCATACAGCTATGTTCCACACCGATCTTACCCAAAGAACAAACAATTTGCTTCTCCTTAGAATCTACTCAATCTCAAATCCACAAATACAAGATTAGGATAATCATTGGTAGGAACCGAGTTCTTCAATTGCTTATCATATTCCCTACTTTGCAGAGGTAGACTATCTTTAATTTCCATCCCGCTAAGAGGACAGTTGACTGCCCCTTTTATCACCAGATACCTAACATATAGGCTCCTAAAACTAACTCTCAGAGGGATATCTAGCTGATATTCTTATTGATTATAGCCTTGATACATAAATTGTTTTCCAATAGCTTAAGAAAAGTGTCTTTTGGTTAAAAATCATGGTATTCTCTGTTTCACACTAAAAAGGTTCTCTCTCCTGAGTGGATAAAAATTATTTTATAATAAAATAATTTTGCTCTCTTAATTTTTTGTTTCTGTTTCTAATGGAACTAAGCTTAATCAAAATTAGGAAGAAATTTTTTGTTTGTCAGGAACTGACTGTCAGTTCATCAACTGTATCAGTTTACAAGAACTGATAAAATCCTTACTATTCAGAGTTTGGTTTGCTTTTTGGTTGTTTTTATTAGACCCATTCTTTGAAATGTCTTCATCAATTTTATTATTATGTTTAATAAAATATCCTGTGCTTCTAGGTGTGATTTTAAAACCACAGATTAATTTTCTGAGTACGGTTAATACATTGAGAAATAAAACATTTCTTTCTTCATTTTCTTTAAGCAGCATAGTAACAACTGAAGATATGAGAGATACCTTGGGATTTTATAATCTGAGGCATCCTTGTTGCCCTCATTTTTCCCCACTGTACAGCAGCTGATTCACATAACCTGATCCTGTCTCCTGGGAGGACTGAGCCAGGCAGTGAAATAAAACTCCCTCCCATTCAAGGTATAATCAAGAGTAAGGGATAGTGATGAATTTGGTAAGTCTATATTAAAAAATGTCCTTCTTCCAGAGTACCTATAGCTGGTGGTGGGGTAAGAAGTAGGTTGTCTTCTTCATTTGTCTTTTCTTTCAACAGTTCTCTTCCACTAAACTGTATCAGTGAACTATTTGTGAGGATGCTTCTGGGTTAAAAGAAGTTCTTTTTAGGCCTTCCTTGAACAACCAGTCTTGTAATTTTTAGTTATGCAGATAGAGCTTTAGTTCCTGATAGCAAAGGTATAGAGACAAGGGGTGATCCTATTGTGGGGGAAACTAATGATCATATTTAAAAATGCCACAGCTCTGAATTATAAACTCATTACCCAGACCTAGGAATTCCTTCCCTAAAGCATAGGCAGGCTAATTGAAAGGACTAGCTATTGCACTTAAAAATAGACCAAATTAAAATAATAATTCAGGCTTCCAAAAGGCCAGCACTCTCTGGCTTCCACATCTAGGACAGCAGCAGCTTATAAGGGTCCAGCTGACCCAGGTGAAGATGACTCCCCTGACACGGGTGTAGGCAACCTTTTCCAACTGAGGGCTAGAGTCCACTCTAGGTCGGAGCCTAGTAGGTGAGTGGGCACAAGAACCCTGTTGCTGCTGCAGCTTGTCCCCCCAGTGCCACATGGAGAATGCCTGCAGAAGGCACCCCCTATGGCCAAATGCTGCCGAAGCCCCATAACCATATGCTAGAGCCAAAGGTTCCACAGGGCAGATCTGGTCCATGGGCCGTAAGCTGCAGAGTCCTGCTCTAACAGTCCCTGGGAGGCTCCCTGTCACAGACTATAGATTTGAAGCAACCTGGCCCCAGGAGTGTAGGAGGAATGGAGGGGACAAGTTGAGTTGCAAAGCACAGCTCCATGCGTCAGCCTGCCCACCCACTCTCAGCACAGTGGATTGCTGGGGGTGGAAGGGGACAGCCACGGCAGCAGTCAGAGGATCAACTGTAAGAGTAGCTGGGACATGTGCAGGGTGCCAGACAGGGTAAGAGAGCATTTATTTTCTCTCTCTCAGAAATAATTTAATGACACACTAGTGTGACAACCCACCCTTTGGCAATCACTGGTTTATTGTACCAGAGTCAGCTTGGAAGTCATTTGACCATATTTTTTTTAAAAGATTTTACAGGGGCCAGATTACCTGGAACACCTAACCACAGTCCAGAACTGTAGATCTTACTTATGTGTACTCTATAATCAGTCAACTTAATTGCTGCAAGTAATATTTCAGCATCAGCTAATCATTCCCCCACCTCACACACACACAATTTTTTTTCCATCCAAGATCAAAGTTGGCCATTTAATGCACCTATGAAAACTGATCTCCTTATTGAGTCTGTGCTGATTATGAGGATGAACTTCTCATACTGATACTTAGTTAAAAGCTGTATTCAAGACAAACAGCAGTAGACAATGTTGGTAAAGATCTGTATTTGTAGTTGGTAAAATCAGGCTGCTTTTTTAAAAAATAAAAAGGAGCAAATGGACAAAAAGAACAAAATAGTTTGTTTGTTTTCAAGTATAACGTACTATTACAAAGAAAGGATACACTATAAGGGAGAAGTACTTATATCTTGTGAACTACCCAGGAGAAAAATTGCTCTCCTACAGCATCTTTCATTATCTTTGGAAAAATTCTCCCCTCAGATACTGTATACCATTATCAAAAGGCTTCACTACAAAAAAAATCAAGTGTCCAAACAAATAGCTTTCATAGACTTTTTGGAAAATGTATTCTAAATGCTACAGTTACAGGTAAATTGTGATTACATAAAATATTTTAAGGATAAAATTATGTTTCTTTGTATGCATGACTGCAGTAGAACATCTCTATTTTGCAACAATGAAATGTAAGTAGAGGGAGAGTAAACATAAATCATCAAGGTCCTCTGGCTCTTCACGTGTTTGATTACAGACTCAAAAAAGAATGTAAATATGTACTTGGTCAGAAAAATCAACACAGGAGGGCAATGAATAAAAGCCAAATAGTGACAGGCATTGGGAGGGAAAGACTATTTCAATTCAAACAAAGTAGCAGGAAGATTTTTTTCAAAAACAATGCACAAACAGCATAATAACTGGAATTTAATGTATTAAAATGATGGCATTGCCAGTAATATCCAGGGTCTGAGGAAGGCAGAGGATGCAGCAAAGTTGCCTCTTTTGGCAGACAGACAAGAAATCTTAAGTGATAGTTTGGTGACTCTCTCAAAACTTCTGCAAAAAATAGTCTTTTATGAACATATAAGCCAAGGTTAGGGGAGGGCAATGATAACTCATCTTTTTTTTTTTTTTTTTTTTTTTTACTTATTACTATTATTATGTACTCTACATTATTATTATGTACTCTGAATGGTCTCTGACCTCAGTCTAAGGGAGAGACTGTTATTATTTCAAAACAATACAGTTTGGCTTTTTTAATAGAAACTTTATTTTGGAATGGGGTATCAGATGGTATATTAAGTTACCACCTAGTTTTTCACAGTACACAGTCCATTTTTCTTCCTCTCAGTTTCACTTCGAAGCCCCTATCATCAGCTAAGAAAGCGCTACCCAACTGGTAGTCTGAGGACTGCATGTGGCCCCCAATGGATTAACCTGCAGCCCCTGGGCTCCTAGTCAGGGCATCCCTACTCTCACTAATCCAAGAGTTCCTGCAACTGGAGTGCCTGGGCTCCCCCTTCCTTTGATGGCTTCCAATGCTTGATCCCACTCTCGTAAGTCTGAGGAAGTCCAAAGCCAGGTGGTCTAGAGGGAATCCAGGGAGTCCATGCAGGGTAGCATGGGACACTGGCATGGTACAGGAGGGCGCCTGCTGTTTGGTGGAATAGGAAGGACCCACATAGCACAGTCCTATGGCCCCCACCAGTCAGAGGTTAGACAACCCTGATCTATGAGACTAGATGCATTTAAATCAAGTTTTCCAAGAGACAAATTCCCCTGCTACAATTGATTCAAAACAGTTCCTTGTCTGGAATACCCACTCTATAAATCAAATGCGACAGCCATTAAAACTAGAGAAAGAGCATTTACAGTGGAGAACCCAGGACCTACAGCACAGCAAACTAGACAGAGGGTAAACTTTCGGTAACAATTTTCATGAAACCTTTTGGCTTGGCACTTCCAAGAGGAAGATAATCAATTTGCTGAGCAACAGGAATTTCTGCACTGGTGAGGGAGGGTAAAAGCTTTTACCTTCTTGGCAACAGTAACCTGCAAAGCAGCAAGAAATATTGTCCCTTTTGGAGAGGTTTCATGTCCTTTAATTACTGTTATGCTGCCAACATAATAAGGCAATTTATCTTATTAAGCACCTCAGGAAAAGAGGTACTATTAAAAAGCCTGCTTGTAAAAAAAAAGTTCAGAGTGACTTGCTAACTTGACTGCCATGACCGGTGCATTAGCTTGGTAAACTCTTACTACTCTAAATTTGATACACAGAGGTGGCACAAACCCATACTATGTCTTGAGAGAGTTCCTGGGGTATGGAAGAAACATTCATCTCTGTCATAACCCTAAATAATCTGGCCATTTCTGTATTTTCCAAGGTATTTTTAAAAGCTACCCATGGATGCCATTTATAAGTTTGACTCAACAGCTTCCCCTAAAATTGTAAGTTTCTACTTTGCAGATTTTTTAAAAAAGGTACTTTAAATATTATACATTCTGACAACAGGGTCTCCAAAAAACAACAAGCTTAATGTTGGGTAGAGCAGTTCTTCCTATGTCTTCTAACTTCTCCCTCTCCCCTGCCCAAACAGAGTCCTGAGAAATTGGTCTTCCAATGCCTGTTGTGTGTACTCATGCACCATCATACCTACCATGTTGGAGAGGTAGGGGTACTGGATAATTTGGATACATTTTTTAGTGTAGTAAAACATCCATGTTCTTTTAAAATCCTTTAACCCTATTTTCTGCTTAAAATCTCAGCTCAAGGGAAAATAAACCTAATTGTTTTCCCATTCGGATTACTTACAAGTAATTCATCCATACTGGTTTGGCATTTTTCTAAGTTGATTCGCTTTATTGCTACACGTTCTTCTCTGGGTTTGCATAGCGCTGCCTGGACTACTGCTGTAGCTCCACTCCCTGGGGAAGAAAAAGAAAAAAAAAAAAAAGAGAGAGAGAGAGAGAGAGAGAGAGAGAGCTAGAAGAATTGGAATGTACATTTACTAACAGAAGCTCCTAAACTTTGTCAATTTAAGAGACAGGGGCCTCACTGAAGTGTGCCCAAGGCAATACTGCCCCCCTATGCCCTACCTTCCTTGTTCCAGATCCAGCTTCAGCTCCAGCAGTGAGAAGGACAGAGCAGTGGTGGCTGTTTTTTAACAACAAAAAGGAGGTAACATCTGCCCCAGCAGTAGTGAACCCCTGGCTGCTCCTCCCACCAACATAATGCTGCCACTTCTGTGCACTCCCCACTGCCTGAGCCAGAGACAAGGAAGGGAAGGTTTGTGTGGGGTGTGGAAAGGAGGAAAGAGGCAAGCGGCTGGGGGGAGGGCAGAACATGAAGGTAAGAGCCCCCCGGCTCCATTCTGGGCCCCGCTTAAGGGAGCACCTGCACCTTGTGTCTGGTTTGCACACCCATTGTTATGCTACTGTTGAGAATTATCAGGCATAAGATTTAGTGCTAACCAGTCGCTAAGGATATTGCTGATAACCAAGGATCCAGGTTTTCCATTTGCCATGGAAAACATGGATTTCCTACTCTAAAGGAAAAAATTACAGATTTAAAGGAGAAAAGCCCAGGAAACTGGCTCTCTCTTTGCAGGCTGGCAGAATTCCAGCCTGCAAGGAGCTTCTTCAGGCTGTAGGGAGTGGGACACAGGGGGCGGGGGGCAACACGTGCATGTGTGCATGCTCATGCACACATGGCAACTAGGCAGTATGGTAGAGAGCAGCTCCCACAGCTCCCTCCAGGTAAGTCTATAGGGGTCGAAGCAGGGGCAGGGCAACAGGGCACAGGCAACAGTGGGAGGTGGGGAAGGTGCAATTTCTGCACCCACAATGGGGTACAGGGCTGCAGCAGGTGAGGAGCCCCCTGCCCACCTGGCAGCAGTGAGGGGCACAACTCCGTGCCACCGCCATGCCTCACCTTGGTGGCCGTGGCAGCGTGGCACACGCTCTCGCACAGAGTCCCTCCCACTGGGTCATGAAGCTGGAGCTGGTCTAGCTCCGCTGCAGCCCCACATCCTGCTGTGGGTGCAGAAATCCCATGCCCCCACAACCTGCCTATGCCCACACACTGCCTCCTCCCCCCCC